CTTTAAAGGTACAGTGTGTAGAATTTTGTGATATCTAGTGTTGAAATTGCATGTTGTAGCTGAACACCCCTCACCTCACCCTCTCCTTCCAAACATGAAAAAGAACCTGTGGTAGCCTTTAATTGTCATAAAAACTCAAAAGGTGTTTAATTTGTCCAGCCTGGACTAATGTAAAAAATATAGCGGCCTCCGTAAAGAGGACTGCGATGTAAATAGAAAGTATTTGATTATCAAGGGTCTTTTCTGGGGTAAAGAAAACTACAATTCATACAATTTAGATGAAATGAACTAGTGAAAACATCATGAGGATTATTCGACATTAAATATCTGCCAATAGTTCCATTTCACCTAAATCTTACACACTGGACCTTTAAAATGCAACAATAACAATATGGTAAAGTAAAACAGGTTATGCCGCCTGAAGGAATAAGACATAAATTAGTGGAATGAAAGTACAGTGAAACTTACGCAGTATATTCATAAGGCAGAACAGACTCCACTGAATCCAGCCTGTTCACAAACAGTTCAATGGTCGACTAGAAGAAAACAGAGCAGATACAAACAGTATTAGAAGGAAAGCAGGACAGAAGGGGCCTGTTCTACAAAGCAAGTTCAACTCGGGGTACATTTTCATTGTGAAAAAGTGTGATTTGGATGACGCTGCTATATTATACACTGACTTTGCAGCACATTTAACTTTTAGAAATTATTATTATTATCGTTATTAGGCCTTGCATTATGTTGATTGTTACTTTATATTGTGGGCCTTTAGGTTACTCCCAGTCTAACATCTCCAGGATCTTGTCAATGGTTTGTCTTTCAAAGTGTGGTTGTTGCTAGAAGCAGGAAAGATGAGCATTATCTATCATGTTCTCAGAGTGTGTTTGTTTGTCAGTCTGAATGGCTTAAACTGAAGTTTTTTAAATGTCTTTGTGCTGAAATGTCACTAAATGTTGCAAACCACTCAAATTTGGTGGATGTGAAGTGAAATGACAAGATGTAATATATAATACTTCCCAATATTTAGATTGGGTCACTTTTTAGAGATGCCAGCACAAAAATGAAAATAAAACACAAAAGGGGAGAGTATATAAGAGACAGGATGATGTAACATCATTCAGTCAGTATCCGTGGGTTATCAAGCTCTCTTTAGACATAATCAGGTATTCAGGTCTCACTTTTAACTGTGAGAAATGACCAAGGTAAACTATGCTGTAGGGCTAACCTGCTAAAGTGCAGGGTTAGGGTTCACATCAAAACCTGTTAACAGCCCATCTACTGACCAATAAGATCACAGGAGAGGTGAGTCATCATCCTGACAGGGACTCAGGACTTTACATACAGTGATGACCCCTCCCACCTTGCTGCCTGTGTAGAGCTGCTACTTGTTTTCCAGATACTGTTGGCTGGAAGGTGGAGCTGTTGTGGATGGTTGGCTGCCCTTCTATTTCTTCTACATCAGTTATGTGATCCCATTCTTTACATAGAATGAGCTGCATGTAACCTGAAGGCATTGCTGTTTCATATTCATCACTTCATCCATGGCTCTGGTGATGTGGCTTATTATTTACAATAACTCCTCTTTTTCATGAACTAGTAGCTGGGATCAGTGAACCCACAGGGAACAGAACCAGATGTTGACCAGCTTTGTTTATAAAGTGAACAGAACCAGATGTTCACAAGCTGTGTTTATAAAGTGAACAGAACCAGAT